CTCAGAACATAGTTTAGACACGAAACATGAAAATTTAAAACTATGCTAAATCTTTGTGGTCAAGTTTAGCAATACTCTGTAACCAAAAGTAATAGAACAGTTTTGGGTTAAGTTCCCATCTGATCCAATCTCTCCACTGCTCTGTTTGAGTCGACCGAATACTGATTTCAAAATGTCCAGCAATTCTGAGAGATATCAGTTCTTCCAACAAAGTTATCACTTCACCAAACCAGACTGGGTTATATGCGTTATCTTGAGCACCCTCCAAAGACAACAGCTCTCCACTCACGTGTCAAGTTCAGCTCACATCTACTGACTGTAAATTACGGTTCACCCGAAGGCACGAAATCGGAGCCGAATGGCTTCATTTTCTTTTTACACTTTAGTCCTAACAGTTTAAACGATAAAGATGTATTCAGTACTTCACTTCAGTCAGAGTGTACCATGGGTTTTCTACATAAAAACTAATGTAGGATGGGTGCGCAGTTCATCTGTCTGCTGCAGGGCCAACACATACAAGCACACTCACTCAATTTAGACGGGAGGAAGTTGAAGCACACAGAGAAAACCTGCACAGTCGGAGGAACAACACAAGAATTTGACACAGAAAAGCTCCAATTGAGACTCAAACCAGAACCGTACGGAGCTGAGGTGCCAGTGGTGGCCTTGCATGATTCTCTCCACTGCCTCGGGTCACTAATCTCCATACAAGCAGCCATTATCAGTTGTTGGGTGAACATTTTGTACACGAACGCTGAATGGATGATCAGATCGAGTCACAATCATGTTCAAACTTAAAACATCTAGAAATGAATCAGGTGAGATATGACCAGAGCATTAAAAACTCTGCAGAGTGGCTGCACGATGCGCACATATTCTTCAGTGTTTACGGCGCGTCGAGGATGACAAACAAACACCGACTTATCTCTAATCGGGACTGTGCTTTTTAACGGATATCAATGTAGTGTGCACAGCCAGGAAAGAACGGTGCATGAAGCTGTTATGAACGCCCGAGGTTATTTTCTCGAGTGATTACCTGCTTTATTTAGGTATGAGCTCATTGACACATTTTCTGGACTTTGAAATTAGAGGCTGGCAGAGTAAAGTTCACATTTAAACTCTCTCACGTGTGCAAAACTGCCACACATTTATACCCCTTTATAACTTGCACAATAAGTTATCTTAAAGCCATTCTGGCAACAAACGCCATTAAATTACTACCAAATGATCAAGGCAGGACATGCTACCATCAGCCAAAAGTCCCATGAACTTTGCCTGGCCTTATCTCACTCCATAACCCTGGAAAACGTGCTTGCCTTCCAAACATTCATACAGATGTGACCAGATGCATCATTAAAAATAAAAAAGCTCTTCATTATTTCATTCAGAACAACTCAGAGGAAACTCGTGCTGTGACAACTTCCCATTTCCGAATCATCTACCTGTGCCATGCACAGCTTTTCTTTCAAACCTAGCCATTTGTGCACAAGTGCATTATTATTATTATTATTATTATTATTAATGTGTGCATGTTTAAGAAAATCATGCTGTGCTTTCTCAGCAGTTATAAGAGGTGAGTTAAGACACCTAAAAATGGGCCAAATCAACCCATTATAAAAAGCAATTTGAAGAATCCGTGATTTGTTTTGATGATTGGTTTACATCAAAGTTTCACTTTTAAACAGGAATATCTTTGAACATCAATTAAAGTACTTTACTGACCAGAGTTATAGTTTTCACAGAGTCGACCTTAAGCTAGTGAAGTGGTGCTTCATTAAGCTAGGTGTCTTTTTAAATGTATTTGATGCTGACCGAAGTTAAATGGCTAAGCTAAACATGTCTAAACTACTGTGGGACGTTTAATGTGTCATATTTCAGCTTTTTAAATTGAACCATTGTTACTCACCGTTTCCATGTCGCCAGGAGAGCAGCAGGTGTCACATTGATAGCAGCGGAAACACAAATAAAGATGTTAGTAAAGTAGGCTAATTCTCCAGAAAACTGCAAATGTGGTCGTGTGAACAAAGTAAGTAGGAGTGAACAATCTTTACCCGAGTCTTTCCGGAGACACAAACCCTTCCAAAGCAGCAGCTGTCACCGAGCAGCGTCACCGGAGGGACTAGGAAATCCCGACGCGGGGCTCGTCCGGGTGTAAAGGACCGGACACCTGTAAGCGCTCGCCTTGGTAAACCACCGCCGCCGACACGGCGCGAGCTAACCCCGCCCCTGCTGTCTGCAAAGTCGACCCCGTGGTGTAACGACTCAGTACAGACACAGCGACACCTGCTGGCCGCTGCTTAAAAATGGCGCTGGGGAAACGTTAGATAATGGTCACATGACCACTAGGAGGTTTAAATCTAGGCAGACCGTTGAAGCATATAATCAAACTACATTTTATCAACTTCCAGAAACATTAGCTTATTCTATGATTTTCATAATGAAATTGTGTTGTTCTGAATCCGATGCATCTTGAAAGCTTAAGCAATACACATTTTTATTTTCCCATTTCTAGAGATTTCTCTTGGTTTCTTTAACATTTAACAATATGGCACAGTAAATGACAAAACACAAAATTTGTCACATCCATCCATCTTTTATCCGTTTCTTCCTTTTTGGGTCGCGGGGATCACCGGTGCCCATGCTCAGCTATCACTGTGTTGTTGTTGACATCCAGTCAAGATGGAAACATTTAAAAATTAAAATTTATTTGCACATTTGATATCATGTCATCCAACTCACGGAGTTAAAAATAATTTGATTATGATTCTACTTTTTTGTTTTACAAACACATAACTTTGCTGGAGACAGATGAACTGGATCAAGCTGACATCTACATCTCTAAAGAGGCTTGATTATTAGAAAAATATAAACAAGTGTAGGTGCTTGGATACAAACCACAAATGAAACCATAAATAAATAATAAAAGGATTCATCGATTCATAAGAACAGGCTCCTATTGCTGAAGACAACAAGAATACAGCCGTACATTTCTGTGATAATGTTGGCCTGTTTGCCTCCGTTCAGTCAGCCCAAGTACTCCAATTTCTACATCAGTGGAGAATAATGGGGAACAACTGCTGCAATTATCCATTGTAAGTATCTTACCTGCAGTAGACAACAGTCAGTTCAATCTCAGTTTGGAGAATCAGAGACAACTTGTACTCAAAATTTTTCTAGCAGTTTGAGCAGAAGCTATACCAAGTATTTTATACCCAATGTGTTTCCCCTACCAGGGCGCCCTGCCCTGTCAACAGAATCGAGCGCCCTGCCTACTGAACTGCAAAAATCACACAAGAGATAAACGCCTAACCTAGGGGGAAAAGATTTTACAAACTTTTTAATATTGTATTTTCTTAACCAAACAAAGTCTGTATTTTAACATGTAACTGACACGCTGAAGCTGCTGAAATGTTTTTCAGCAAATTTGCAAACAAAAACCTAAAACAGTGTTTCTGAATGAAAAAAAAAAAAAAAGACAGCACATCTATTTCTAGGGAAGTCCTGGGATATGTGAATGAGCCTGATCACACAGAATAGAGAAAGTGAGTTTTCAGCTTCTGACCCACAAAAACAAAACAAACACCCCCCTTCCCGCAAAAAAATAAAAATAAATACATAAAAACAGTGGCAAACACTCCACCCGCTTCAAATGTTATCCGCCATTAAATGGTCGTTATTAATTGTTATCATTCCCATATGTAGTGGTCAGACTGTCCCTCCTGTACCTCCTAGTGGGTTTAAAGGTACGTTGTTAGCGCTGATAATAGCTTCACGTGGTTAGGTTTAGAGTAAAGGGTCTGGCAGTTAGGTTTAGGGTCTTGGTTAGGTTTAGGCACAAGGGTAAGGGGTTTAGGGTTGGTCCTCTGGGTCAGGTGTAAAGTTAGGTTTAGGAAAATGGTTACATAAGCTTAAAAAACAAAAAAGACACTTCCTGGTTCACCCCCGTGTAATGCTGCCTATTATCAGCGATAATAACGATAACAACGTATCTTTAAACCTACAAGGAGGTAGGTGGGACAGTCTCACTGCTACATATGGGGATCATAACAACTAATAATGGCCATTTAATGGACTGATAACATCCAAAGCCACTCACAACCCTGGCTATTGCTGATTGAAGTGTCTAAATGTTAGAGTCAATTAAAAAAACACTGTAATGCTACCACAACCAGCACCAACACTTGTTATATTTTCATCCATTTCTAACTTCTGCTCTTTATAGTTTACAGCAGTTATACAAAAATAGGCTATTAGCAATCAATTCCAAGTTTGTTTTGTGGAAAATCAACTCAAGATTCATCACTTGTTGTTTGATGACCCCAACTTTGGGAACCATTGGTCATATTAGAGAAAGACAAACTGTTAAACTCAACAGATCAGCAGTACGATATTTGGCAGCAACAATATATGCATTTAGCTTCAAAACACAAAACAATATTTGCGTTAGAAAATAGTAACGTTGTGAGGTGTAAAACCGCCTAATAGCTGTTAGCCATTAGATGGATTCCTAGAGGAGAAAACCCACCTAATTTTCCAAACTGATGACTCTGGCTACTGTCTACTGCAGGTAAGATACTGACTGCTCACATAAAAAAACAAGCCATTCTTTGAACTTTTTTCTTTAAAATATTTAGAAAAAACAAACTGTTTGGCATTTTAATATTAAACAATAAACGTTTGTCTGAACCAGCATAGGTGTTAGAGTCAGATTTATTCAACCATGTACGTTTCATATGAACAAGTGTGCACATAGAGAAGACCTCGTTGTTAAGGTCTCATTACTAAACCAAACGTCTACCTGAGATTCTGATCAGTTCACCAAGTCACGTGTTTTTCACAGAACAATGCAGAGAAACAAATCTAGACTATTTAATTTCTGTGACATACGTAAATGCTACCGTACAACAAGGTGGACAGCAGTTCGCAGTGATAGTTTTGGTAGTTTTACAAGCTACAGTGTCTGCCCTACAAGTTGTACAAAACAAGTTAAAACTCAGATCTTTTTTTTTTTTTCCCTTTTTCTGTTTTTTTTACAAACCTTTACTAAAACTCCATTGAAGTCTTAAGTATTGCTCTTGCTACATTGGAAAAATAGAAAAGTTACATCTGAATATTGAGCAGTGGTTGTTTTCATATATAAAGTGTGTCGCTCTTGAGTGCATGGCTATAAGTCAATAGTCCTTAGCTGTGTACTCTTTGTGTTTCCTTTCCTGACCAGCTACTCATCACTAATGGCAAAAGAAGGTAAAAAGCAAAGAACAAGACCAGAAAGAGTTGCAGGAGGGTAGTGAGATAAAAAAAAAGAAGAAAGAAAAGCCTAGGATTCTGTAGAAGTGCTGGGCGTCTGCAGAGCCTCCTCCCCCTGAGCTCCTTCATCCCTTGTGGCTGTTGCATCCATCTCTGCTTCCTGTCCCGCGGCCTCTAAAGCAGCGTGAGTGTCGGGTGCTTCGAAGGACTCGCCCCCCAGGTCAGTCAGTTTGATGTAGCCCTTGCTGTTGGAGCGCTCCAGTCGGGGGCAGCTGAAACGCCTCGCTCTGTCACCTTGACGACTCCCAGACACGGACAGGCTGCAGCGGCGCGCGAGCCTCGGCTGATCTGTGAAGGAGTTCAGCGACGCGTTTGAGCCCGTTCCCATGGCAACGGGAGCTGGAGGAAACAGCTGTGTGTGAGGCACCTCCTGCGGATTAACCGTCTCTGTGGTTCTGTCCTCCTGACGCTGATGGGGGGGCGGGGAGTCACTCGTCGTCGCTGACCCCTTATGCCTCCCGTCCATCTCACTGCTGGCGTGTCCATCCTCACTAATGTTTTCAGCAGCGGTCTCAATCACAACCTCTTCCTCCGAGCGTCCTTCTGCCTCCACCCTCTCCGACTCCTCCACCTCACAGTTGTTGAGTTTGATCACGGGGAGGGTGAACGCGTTCACAGAGGAGGCGACGATGTAAGTGGTCTCCCACTGTCGGGGCTGGGGGGCCTGCTCGCCGCTGTTGCTGTAGTCCTTGTAGATGCTGTAGACGGTGTCGGTGAAGGTCTGGACATCTCTGGACCAGCTGCGGGGCCTGCTCGCCAACGAGGAGCGTCTAAACGCCTCCTCGGTATCCACCTCTCCCTTCAAATTGAGTCCAGTGGAAGGCCAGGAGCTGCGGGTGAGTGACCCGCTCGCTGGAAACGACGCCGACGGGCCCTCAGCACTCCTCGCCTGGGTGTAGTTAACCAGGCCGTTCAGAGGAGAGTACTCCTTTGACCGTATGTTGTGCAGATCTATCACCGTGGAGTAAATATCTCTCAGGTTGATGATTTTAGTTTTCTTGTCTCGGTTTTCGTGGAGAACAGCGTTGGCACAGATGAAGAGAAAAATGCCAATTCCCATCACCAGCGGTCCGAACACTTTCAGATTGTCTGAGTACAGGTAGTTATCCAGGAAGTCACAGAGGATGCCACAGTGAGGAGAGGAGGTGCTGCTGTTAGAATGGCTCTGGTTGAACTCATGCGCTGGGCTGGAGGGAGACTTATCTTGGGTCAAGTTAGGCGAGGCAGCTGGACTTCTGGAGTAGCTCGCCCTGCTGTTGTGGAAGGCTCCGTTCCTGCGGCGCTCCTGGTACTCCTGCTGATTCTGACTGGGCCAGTAGCCTAGCACAGCCATGGAAATCCCGACCATCAAAACCATCACACCAATGGCAGCCACCAAACCAGCCGGGGAGCAGAGGTTGAGCTTCCCCTTCACAATGACCACATCGTTCTTCTTCTTTTTCTTGGATTTCCGTTTCCTCTTGTTTTCAGCTCGATTTTTGGACCGGAGCGAATCCTGCCGCCTGTTCATGCGCAGCAGGCCACCCGTGGCTATCATGGTGGCGACTGGACAGCAGGCTCCTCACTCAGTCTGGTAAAACAGAGAAGAGGTTGTTCACATTGTGCAAATGTGTCATTTCCACCCAACAAACCAGCCGAAGTATAACACTGCTATTTAATTTAAATGGATGTGCATCACTTTAGCGTCTCTGAGCTAAAAGTGATCGTTCATAGTCATTCACAAGGCTAAATGCTACAAAATCTCAGGTGAACTCAATCTAATCTTCTTTGAGGTTATAATATATAACTAAATACAAAGTTATGGTGCATCATCTTCAAGCTTCTCCTCAGTAATAAGTTTTTTTTTTAAATGTTTAGGCTTTTAAACCCCATAGACCATGTGTCATAACTACATCACAACCTTGAGCAGCAAACCCAGCTAACCTTTTCACATGCTGACTGTTACACCTCTGGTACTACCTGACTTGACAACGCAAAGTTCGTAACAGTGCCAGGCTGGCTTCAACCCACCCATGCGGCCTTGGTTCATTCAGAAATGGCACCTTGTTGGCTTGGAGTTATCTCATTTTTAGCTTGAAGTGTTTTG